AAATCTATGGGTTGAAACATGTGAATTGAGACCAAAAGGTGGTGAAATTGAAGACCTAAAACATGGCAGAATTTTCGGACCCCAACAGACCCAGCACTGCACGTGCGGCTTGGGCCCCGCACATGCGGAAAAAGGGCAGAATTGGAGGAGCATTTTGGCTTAAATTGCAGCAGGTACGAAGATGGCCCTGTATGTGCTGCAAAGACCCCGCACCGTGCGGCTATTTGGGTAGTCCGAGTTTTGTTTTTCACCCATCTTTTTCACATTCTGGGCCTCCATTTGCAATTTTGACGCGTTTTCATGATCATTTGCATCTCTTGAGTGCATTAGATTGATTAAAAAATGAAAGTTAGAATCGAACGAAGTGAGCTACGAATAGAAATTAATCGAATGAACAACAAACCGAATAAAAATAGAAATGATTAAATCTAGCATGGATGTAATTGAGTTGTTATGCTTGAATTGTTTGTCTAGGTCGACACTACATTCTTAGTGCATTAGCACGTGTTCCAAGGAGTCCACTGTGAGTAACAATGTTGCAAAACTATGTTCAATTATAATTATTTTCTGAATGATTAATTGATACTGCTTTCTGAAATGATATTATTTATTAAATGAATGTTTGTTCTATTTTATGAACTGTACCGTGGCATCCATAGCAACCGATTGTTACTGTTACTGCTATTGTTATGCTACTATTACTGTTACTGTTACTGTTACTATTACTGCTACTGTTACAGAGATCTTTGTCAGTTCCAAGTTTTGGAACTACTGTTTACTGTTGATGGCCATCAATTGATTGTTCAGTTTTTTAAGACCTACTGTACTATTCGTTATTGGATGTACCACATATGACTACTATGATTCCTATATGACAGATATGATATGGAATATGAAGTTTTGATCAAATAAATGCTTTACTGATGCGATTGACTAATTTAAATACTGAAAGGACATTCATTCTTCACCCCTTTACACATGTGCTATTCACTGGGCTTTAACTCACTGTTTATATATATGTATGTAGGTGATTAAGTACCCGAGCAGAGTTAGCAGCGTCGACCCGATTATTTTTGTCAAGCCAACCTATTATGCCTAACTGCGCGAGGCTCTAAACCTATTGTCAAGGCTTTTGGGGGATCTAATTCCACCATTTTGAATGTTATATGATGTCAAAGTAAATGTTTTATACTTTGTTTGGGCTTGAGATTTAATTTCCTACCATGTTCTTTATTTTGGACTTAAGCTTTTATGTGTATATTGGATATGACTTGGACTTATGAATACTTGGATATAGATGTATATCTATAGAAGTTGTTTGTTCATTCAAGCACCTACAACTCTTTGGACATTATGTTTTAATATGTACAGGATTCCGCCGGCCCTTTTTATCGTTTAATTATTATTACTATTAAGCAGGCCTTTGGTAATCACGAATTACTGGCCGATTACGATGCTAAACCCTTAAAGGCTTGTTTGGGTTATGACAGGTTATATATATTAATTTACATGAGAAATAAAAAATAGTGAACCATTATTTTTTTTTTAATTTTATTATTTAGATGGTAGAGCATCCCAGCATACCCTTATATTAGGTTTTTTAGCCAAAATAAGAGAGTTTTGTTGTCAAAAACACCCCCATCAAGTCCCTTATCTAACCCCCCAATAAAAGTGTTGCTACAGTGATTCCCTATTTGTAGAGTGTCACTGTAGCTCCTTCATATTGATAAATTCTTTTTTTATTGTAGCAGAAGGCACGAAGGGAACTGGAGGGCACCAAAACTCAGCCAATGACTCTCTTAAGAATCTCTTTCACTGGTGTAGGTCGCTTTCTCGCCATCATCATCAACAAAAGCAATTTCTGGTATGTATTTTGTTTGTGTTGTTCCCAATCAAACCGTACTTCTTTTATTCTATTTCTCTCTGTGTAGTGTGTATCTCTCTCTTTGCTTCTTTACCAAATAGAGACCAAAAACTTGCAAATATATATGTGATGCTTTGGTTTTGGTGACGGTAATTTGAAATTTATATAAGAATCTATTTTAACTTACTGGTTTATGGACTTTGTGGTAAAATAGGAATAGATATTTTATATATATGAGGGCTTTGAGATTGATTGCAATCAATTTTACTTCCTAAAAATTGAAGAAATCAATAGTTTAAAGAAATTTATATGAGAATCTGTGACTTTTCTGTTATGGATTTTTGTGTGAATAGGAATAGATATTTTATATAAGAGTTTGTTCATGAAGGTAATGCCCAGTTAATGACTTTTCAGTTTTGGTGGATTATTATGAAATTTTGTTGATGGGCTTGTAGTTAGTAGAATTATTGCATGTGCTGCACATAGAATTGTTAAAAATAGTTAGCTTTGTTTGAATTCTATTCTGTTTTCCACTCAATATGTAAGGATGGATTCACAAGGAGGCAAATACTTCACCAATCTTTTGTACGAGGATTCCAACTTTCATGATTTAATTTTTATGGATTCTCAAGATCAAATGGGTCAAAATTTGAAACAAAATACTCAAGTACCTGATGAAACAACTCAATTCTCACCTCAAATGGAATCCACTCTAAAAGATCACATGGTGGAAACTTCACTATAGATGAAGTCAATCTCATTCTATCGACATGGTTTAATACTAGCTTGGATGCAATGTATAGGAATGAGCAAAAACATAAGACATATTGGTCAAGAGTATATGAGTACTTCCACAAACACAAGACCTTCAATCATGAATGTAATGTGAACTCTCTAATGCATCGGTGGTCAACCATTCAGTTGGCACAAATAAGTTCTGTGGATGTTTTGCCCAAATTGAATCAAGGCATCAAAGTATAAATGAGCAAGAACAAGGTAATTTTTAATTTTTTAAAAAAATTATACATTTTGCAATTATTGCTCTTTTTAACAAGACTTTTATATTTTAATTTCAATCTCTCAAGCAAAACTGTCATACCAAAGATTGCATAAAAGTTCATTTTAGTTGAGCATTGTTGAATTTGTTGAGGTTCCAAGCAAAATGAGTGGAGGATGTCAAAAAAAAAAAAACTAACAAAAAGCTAACATTGACCACCATCCCTCCCTATACTCCAATACAATTAATCGAGGAGATGATTATGGATCGCATGATGCCTTTGTAGACTTGGAGAGACCAATAGGTAGGAAAGCTGAAAAAGAGCGGATAAAGAAACGAAAGAGTGGAAATTGTATGACTTTGCCTCTTACTGGGATTACTAACTGAGATAAAGGAAGATAATAAAAAAATAGTGAGAAGAAAATAGAAATCCTGGAGAAAGCATAAGTTTAGGAGAACAAGACTTCGACAGGAGAACAAAGACTTTTTCAAGAGGAAAAAAGACTTCTTCATGAGAAAGAAGACTTGCTATCAAAAATGAAATGTTCAAAGCGAAACAATTTAAAAGGAGG